CAGGGAGCCTGACGCGGGACTCGATCCAGGGACTCCAGGATCATGACCTGAGCCGAAGGCAGTCGCTTAACCAACTGAGCCACCCAGGCGCCCTATCATAAAACATTTTGCCTTTTAAACTATCTCCTATTTTTTCCCGAGGAAGTCAAATTCAACAACTGTTTTCATTTCAGAATTCAATATTGTACACAAGAAATTATTGTCTTTCGTGAAGACTTAGTGAATAAAATGTGCAGAAACTGTGTCCGTTTTCCTAGTAGCAATTTGGATATTCCTAATCATGTAAGTTAAGAGTCTTCTTTATTAAACTGTCTTAAGTATTGCATTATATAAAATTTTTTTAAGCCACTTAATAATTTGCCCTTTTATGTTTATTTATAGTTCAAAATAACTTGAACATATTTTTGTTAGTAAGTTAATTTTTGTTACTAAGTCAGTGTTTCTCAACTTTCTCACTGAAGTATCCCCTAATGGGCAGAGGAAAACCTTAGAACAAACAGGAAATTTCTTTGAAGCTTCCTATTTTGCTTTTAAAACTCATAAATCTTACGTTGTACTTCAAAATATATGTATATTTGTCTTAAAAAAAATGCTTATGTTCCTCACATCCATTATATGGTATGTCCCCATCCCGGAGGATGTGTAGTGTTTTATCTTGTAACTTCAAGTTTCCCTGACATAAACTTGTCAATCCCCAATTACATGTAACCCCTGTACCACTTTGGGAAATGTGGAAGTAGATCATACAGAGCATGTTTAGTATTTATTTTATAACATTAAAGTTTATGTAGGCTGCATATCTATTCTTGGCATTACTTAAGCTGTAGAATTATTTTTAGATGAACATAATTAGTAACTGAGTTTATTATACAGCTATAATTGTTCCAATATGACTATTTGGGGGAGTAGCTTTTATGATACATGGTATTAAATGAAAACTTACAGATTTTTCCTAAAATACAGGATAGTTAATTTCATTTCATTTTTTAAAAAAGATTTTATTTATTTGAGAGACAGAGAGAGTGGTGGGGCGAGGGAGAGGGAGAAGCAGACTCCACACTGAGCAGGGAGTCTCACCTGGGGCTTGATCCCAGGACCCTGAGATCATGACCTGAGCTGAAGGCAGACACTTAATGGACTGAGCCACCTGGGCACCCCTAGTATCATTTTGTATCAGTATTTCCTAAAGCTCTGTGATTCAAAGTCCTCCTAAGTGTTTCTCAAATTTTGTAAGTCATTTTGGTAATTGATATTCAATTTAAAATTATTTGTTAGCAGTTTTAACTTTTACAAATGAACTGACATTTGTTTTATATCATTCTTTTATAGTTTGTGAAGACTATCTTATCCCAAGGACACCTGACTCCTCTACCCCTTTATGTCTGCCCAGTGTACTGGGCGTATGACTATGCTTTAAGAGTGTACCCTGTGCCTGATCTCCTTGTCATCGCAGACAAATACGATCCTTTCACTCTGACCAATACAGAATGCCTCTGCATAAACCCTGTAAGAATATAGTTAATGTTATATAGTCCTAGTTTGTCAGGATTAGAGTGTTTTTTCTTTAAATTTAAAAAATATATATTTAGTAAAATTGTTGTATAAAAATGTACTATAAGTGAAACATTGAATTAATTTGGTATACACAGAAAGTTCTTCAATGTTCAGGAAAGCATGTGACTATAAAGTAATGTGACTTAAAAAAAAAATACACCAAAGCTTATAAATCCAAATGAGTATTTTCCCCTTCAAAGTAACTGCCTTGGGATTCCTTTCTGGGAATTGCTTTCAGAGCCTATATCTCAGTCTCTTTAAATATATTAATGTCCTTTGTGGATGATTTTGATTTTTAGAAATTTGTGCAAGTCCCAGAAATGCGTAAGCCTGATGAATATGGAAATTCTTACTGGGGTACAATTTCTACAGAAGTATGATTGCCTTTTCAAATTTTGGCAATGATTACTGCATAAATATTGTTGATGTGAAACAGTATCTTCACTAGTGACTTTTAATCTGTTTCCTTGATTCTTGTGAATTTTAGACTGTAATACTTTTTTTTGCTTCATCTAGGTCATTTCTAGAAACATCATAACTGTTGGTTACTGCTTTCCTCAAACACTCATTTGTTTTGTCCAACTTCCTCCAAGACAGGGTTTCTCAACCATGGAACTATTGACATTTTGAACTAAATAATTTTTTGTTGTGGAGCACTGGCCTGTCCATTGTAGGGCGCTTTGCAGCATCCTTGGCCCCTCATCCCTAGATGCCAATGGCAGCCCCCAGTTGTAACAATCAAAAATGTCTTAGGATATTTGCCAGATGTCCCCTGGGGGACATTTTCAGTGGTTGGGAACTGCTCTAAAGATGAGCACAGTCAATGGATTTGGTTTCATGGTTTGAAATTTATGGCCTGATTTTCATAGAATCTTTACTCACTTTCCACTGTTCTTTCACAATAAGGCTATTTATTTAAATTTAACTCTTTGGGTGTTCTCATAGTTATTGCTTTATTTTATAGCACCTTATATCTGAATTTTTCCACTTTCTCTTCCTGTAGACCAGTAAACCACCACCTCCTACACCATCATTATATACTTTTTTACTTTATTTATATTTATAACTTTACTTTTAAGTCATGACCAAGGAATTTAATCTTAAAAATAGGAATTCTTTTACAAAGTTGAGTATTCACTTACTGGCATTTTTTTTCTCCAAAGGGCTCTTTTCCAAGAAGTGGATTTTCATTCAAAGTTTTTTATCCGTCCAACAAGATAGTAGAAGATAGGTAAGTGTACCCCCAGAAACAGCAAGTAGGCGCTGTCTTTTGGCGTCGTATTGCTGAAAATCAGATGTCCTATAGGTGTGTTGAGGTTTTAAAAAATGTCTAGTGGTCCTTTGGAAATGTTTCAGGCTGAACTTCTGGTCATACTGTGGGACACAGAATTGTATGTACTTGATAAAAGAGATTAAGAACTGTCTTCTGAGGGCTATGTCAGACCAGCCAGGGAGGTGGGCTAGTTCTTTTACAGGCTGACTCTTCATGATGTTTATTATTCTGAGAGGTCAGCCCCACCCTCCATGTGGTTGATTCTCAAAATCTAGGTAATCTGCCTTAAATTGACATTAAGGAAGTGTGTGGGGGGAACCCGGGGTGTTACTGTGGTGATGGTGAGGGGTTGGGGTTGGGGGGTTGTCTTGGGAATAAAGAATAATCCACCCGGGGGGCGGGTAGTGGTTTTCATAGGGTGATCTATAGACTACCCTCATCAGAACCCTCTGTGATCCTTTTTAAAAATGTTGTTCTCACTTAACCCTGGCAGGGGAGATACCATGATCATGAAAGTGGTTTTCCCAGGGCGAGTCTTATCCGTTGCACTCCCTATGTGCTGACCCCTGCGATTTCCCCAAAGTGGGAAATCTAGATGCATAATTTATGGTAGTGGGGGACTGTGTTCGTGCTCTCTCCTGGGGAAGGGGTGTTAAGTTCCAGGATCCCACTCCAGACTTACCAAATGACTCTCTAGTTGTAGGGCCCAGGAATAAGCATTATTGACACTATTTCTCTTGGACTCAGGCATCCTAACATGCTATTTCTCAGTTAATCATATTTTGAAAAAGCTCCCCACCTTAGATAAGAACAAGTGACCAAATAACTGCCTTGCAGGTTCTTGTCAGAGAATGTAATCTTGAACACAAGCCCAGTTGTCTTTATTTTTTGGTAATTAACATATTTATTTAAATAAAAATGAACACAAGTACATGATAAAAATTTCAAATAAATAAATGGGTCCCCACTTAAATGTGTCTACTTCTTCAGAACTTTTCGAATGTATTTAAATTTCAAAGCCTTAAAGGAAGGGATTAGTTTTAAAAGTTATAGGTAAATATATTACTGATTGAAAAAAGGTGTAGAAGTGTTCATTGTATTCTACTACTTATGTATATGTTTTTAAAGCATATACCCCCCCAATAGATGCTTATATATGATTAGACTGTCTTTATAAGGATAAATAATTGCTTCCAGGAACAGAAATAGAGTGTGAGACTGACTTATCTTTCACTCTGTCCCCTTTTGAATTTGGAACAATGTGCATGTAATGACCTATTTTTAAAATTAAGTACTTAGAAATGTACAATAACTTAGGTTTCCAACATGTTTAATTTTATGAATTTCTATTTTCAGCAAACTTCAAGGTTTTTGAGATTCTTAAAGAACATCTGAAGAAAAAATTCATCAGTTTCTGCTTAATTTTATATTTATGTGATTTTGATACGTTCCAGTAAAATTATGATAAACTCTAGAATGTTCTTAAATTTGTATTTTATGAAATTTTGGTATTAAGTTATAATAAACATGGTACACTCTACAAAGGTTTATAGCAAAAATATTTTCTGTATAGTCTTAATATGAAAATATGAAGATACAATCCGATTATACATTTATGCTTAAAAATTGGTCTCATTATTTCTAGACTAGTCATATGCTAATATTCATTTTAAGAAAAATATTTAAAATTTTCTGAATCCTTATTTTGTCTAACTAAGGTTTTTATCACCATAAGAGTTAAGAGTCCTAATGGTAGATTTAGCAGTTTTCAAACTAAATTTCAAGTCACAGAATTTATTCTAATGATAGTGAAAACCTTTGTGTCAGGATATTACTAAGATAATCATTTCATAATTATCTTTTGGCATTGGAGAGTTTTTTTTTAGGATTTTTTTAAGGTTTGGCACTGGAGTGTTTTTTTTTAAGAAACTAAGAAACTTAAGATTCACAGAGAAAGGCAGTGAGAGAGGAGCACAAGCAGGGGGAGTGGGAGAGGGAGAAGCAGGCTCCCCGCTGAGCAGGGAGCCCGATGTGGGGCTCCATCTGAGGACCCCGGGATCATGACCTGAGCCAAAGGCAGACGCTTAACCGACTGAGCCACCCAGGCGCCCTGGCACTGGAGATTTAAAAACACAGAGTTGCCATAGATTTTACATTTAGAAGACACATTATTTTGAAGCAGCAGGTTTTGCTATTTGGATGTGATCACTTAACACCATCCCCTTACTTATCTTTTAGTTTACAGCATTGCAGTAATAGCCTAGAAATGAATCTGAAAGACAGGAAGTCAGGGGTACAAAGAATGTTTCAAATGTAGGAGTAATCTTAATATTACAAAAAGCCTAGAATGGAAGACATTTCTTTGAAAGAAAATTAGCTTTTTGGGGAAGAGAGACTGATAAAAAATAAAAATGACATATTGAAGGGAAAATTCCTCAATGAAATTTTATCTGAATGTAGTGGTAAGTGAATTAGTAGTTAAGGGTGAAGTGGCAGTTTGAGAAGTGGTTTGAAGATGGAAAATTTGGGGAGAAGGTTAGTAGAGGCCTGATGTTAGAAGAGCACGATTTAGCTTTAATTTCAAGAATAGCCTAGGATGCCTGGGTGGCTCAGTTGGTTAAGCGACTGCCTTCGGCTCAGGTCATGATCCTGGAGTCCCTGGATCGAGTCCCGCATCGGGCTCCCTGCTCGGCAGGGAGTCTGCTTCTCCCTCTGACCCTCCCCCCTCTCATGTGCTTGCTCTCTCTCATTCTCTCTCTCTCAAATAAATAAATAAAATCTTAAAAAAAAAAAAAAAGAATAGCCTAGAAAAAGTTAAAGATGAAATTAAGGCATAAGTTCAAAAGCTATATTGCTTGGAAAATTTATAATCTGGGCTTTGAAAGTGGTAGTGAAATAAACACTGCAAGGCTGTTGGTCCAGTTATGAGAACCAGAGCTACATATGAATGACGACGAGTAGGAAGTTATAAATGGAAACTCATACAAAGTGTTCCCTCATTCATTTGCTTCTATAAGATGAGCTTTTTGAGATCTTTTTACATTTAGTGGCTAGAAAGACAGGGTGCATTTAGGACTTAGCAAGGTGAAGTGAAGCAAGGCAGTTAACTACGAGCAGGTACGTTGCCAGAACCAAACACGTGTTAGAACAAGACCGGAACTAAAACCGGGTGGCAATCCTCATCGTCCAGAAATGCAAAGCAGAAGTCTGAAAGATGGGGCAGCAGGGGAGCAGCACTGAAAGGGTATCCTGCACCTCTGTCTGGGGGAAAAGCAGAGAGGTGGTGTGCTCCCTGACTTGGGTGCTTAATCAGCTGGAGCGTGGCTGGCTCACTGCCAGAAGTCTGGGTCTGAGGCACTGTCATGAACAGGGGCCACGTAGATCACACAAGAAGACAGGCATGGGTAAGATTTCTCTGCTGTGAGAAAAGCAACATTTGGTCTCATGTGGGGAAACCACAGGAAGTGCGACTGGAACACACAGGTGCACCTAACGGCCGCACCTGCCGCCGTCTGCACCAGCCAGCTGTAGCCACGTGGGTGGCTGAGCCTAGCTGGCCATTCTGGGGAAATCTGAATTTTCAGGTAAAGCATCCTGACTTTTCAATCACCAGTGATTTAAATTACAGTCTGCACTAAGGAAGACATGATTACAGACTGAATTGTGCCCATGAATTGCTTTCTCTGCCTGATAAGCACAGGAACTTAATCCAGTGTTCTGTAAAATATACCTATTAAGTAAGATGAGTTGAGTCCCAATCATTCACCAGAAACGATTGTGGAATTTACTATGTCCTCTTATAGTGGTGGGGACCGCTCAGAGCAGGCAGGGTAAAATTAAGACGGAATGTTTCAGTACTGACCCTGTGCACATTCGTGTGATTTCTGTGCAATGGAGGCCCTCACACACCATGTTCAACCAGCAGCACAGGCTACCCAGGAGCAAGGGTGTTCTGCCATGGAGGCCGAGGTGTAATGATCCAGGGGCTGAGTATGGAGAGGGCTACGGATCAAGGCATAATGGCCTTGTAGACGCAAGTAAGGAATCTGGACATGGGGCTCCTGAAAGGCATTCAGCAGATCTGGTTTTCAAGATCACTAAGGTTACTGTGTGGAGAAGAGATTGTAAGAAGGGAAGAGCTGAAGAGACCAGTCAGGAAGCTACTGCAGAAGTCTGTGATGGAGATGATGCAGTGGCTCAGACCAGAAATGGAAAGAAGTGGGTGTATTCGGGGTGTGTAAGAAGAGACCACAGGCCTTGGTAACTGAACAGTGGTGCAGAGTGGGGGTAAGAGGAATCAAAGATTACACTTAGGTTTCAGGCTTAAGCAGCTGGGTGGACAGTACTGTTTACTGAGACTGGGGAAATAACAGGTTTGAGAGGGAAAAAAAAATCAGGATTTCTGTTTGGATGGGTGACTGGCTGGCGTTCAGTCAGTGGAATGTGCAACTCTTGATCTTGGGGCTGTGAGTTTGAGCCCCACGTTGGATGTAGAGATTACTTAAAAATAAAATCTTAAAAAAATTTTTTTTTCTATTTGGAGATGCCTATCACACATCCAAGTGGAGGTATCTGGTAGGTAGTGGCATGAGCCTAGAGCTCAGAGGTTAGGTGTGACTGGAGGTAAAATTTTGGAGTCACTAGTCTCAACCCACATGAGATCCATGAAGGCACGGATTTTTTTTTTACAAGTACATTAAAAAACTTTTCAATTCAAGTATAAGATAACATACATAAAGTCCCCTATCATCAATGTACAGCTCAATGAATTTTCACAAACTGCACATCCTGTTAGCAATACCAAGATTAAGAATCAGAACACTACCCCTCAACCCAGAAGCTCACTCCTGCTCCCCTCCAATCACAACACCCCACTCCCCCTCGAAAGGACAATCACTAGCCTGGTTTCTAGCAGTGAGATTCATTTTGCCAAGCTTTGCCTATTGTAGAATGGAATCATATAGTTTGTATTATTTTGCATCTGGTTTCTTTCATACAACCTTGTTAGTAACATTTATCCACATTGTTCATTCATGTCCATTGTGTGGATATACTTTTTATTTGTCCATTCTACTATTGATGGAAACTTGAGTAGTTTCTACTGTTTATCTATTGCAAATACTGCTATTATAAATGTGCAAATTCTAGTATATGTCTTTTGATAGGGATATGTGTTTCTATTGGATATATATCTAGGAGTAGAATTTCTTAGTTATGAGATATACATTACAGTCAACAAAAATTTTCCAAAGTAATTGACCCAACAGATACATCCAGCATACGAGAGTGCCAGTTGCTTCACATCCTTGGAACACAATGATTTTGTTTTGTCCCATCCAGTGCCTGGAACAGTCCCTTACTTATATAAGTAGTAGGTGCAGCAAGTGTGCAATAAATATCTGTTGAAAGAATGAATCTAAACTTAGATGGCATTTAAAGCTGTGAGCTTGATTAGGATCATCTGGGAAGGAATACGATTAGGTAAGTAGTCTGACGAACAGACTTTGGGTGACTCCTACATTTAGAGGACAGGCGGGAAAGGAACAAGCAAAGGAGGAGGAAAATGGGAGAGCATGGAGTTCTTCAAACCAAGAGTAAAGTATATTTCAAGAGGGGCAGTCAACTGTTTTGAATACAGCCA